CATTTTCACGTTGGTGGCTTTGTAAACAAACACAATGCTCGTAGTTGGGGATTAGAAGATCGAAGAGCAATGCATCCCCAAAAAGAAAGAGGAATAATTGGCCCTTTTTTTTCGAGGATAATGCGGAGAACGCTGTTACGGTTAATGGTGTTCACTATCGAAACATGATATTTGATTTATTCTGGGAGCAGTTGGAAGGTATGGACATTGAAGATTTGTGGTTCCAACAGGATAGAGCCACTTGTCACACATCCAGAGAAAAGATGCAATTGCTGCGGTCGGATTATCTCAGTAACGTTGATATCAATTGGCCGCCGCGATCATGTGATCTTACTCCCCTAGATTCCAAACACTATTCCAGAGCTAAAACAGGAGATTAGACGCGAAATAGCCGGCATAGAACCTGAATTACGTCATTCCACATGAGTCGCGGGGGTCATTTGAATGACATGATCTTTCATACCTAATTGTAATACACTAATCTGAAATGGCAAATAAAAATGTTTGTAGATTTTTAGATTCTTCCGAGTTTTTTTTATTATTTTAATGTGGAAACCCTTATTGAATCACCCTTTATATAGAAAGCATTCCATAAGACAGCACGCTGTACAACAGCCAATAGCCATAATATAGGTATAATATAATCCCAATTACCTATACATTATCCTAATATTCTGTGACAGATTATTTTAAACTTGGGATCCTTGAAATCCCCCTTTATGAACGTTTGTTTTAAACATTTGATTTTTGTTTTTAATTCAGTATACCTATGCATCAATTTAAATTGCTCATACATACATATTTTTTAGATATATTTTTCTTGTATAAGTAAGATAATCTCTGCATTGGTACAGCGACTGACCATCGGTGGTATTCAACTATGAAGCAAGCAGCAACTCAATATGTTTCATGTTTGTTACTTGTTCCATTATTTTGTATTTGTTTCTTTTTTATCCCGATATCATAAATCGATATTTACTTTTACATTTGCTTGTAACCCTAGTATCATTATCAGTACAGCAGTGGCCCAAGACGGTTAGATTTAAAGCAGGCATGGGCAACATTTGAGATGTTGTCAGCCAAACTTGACATTGTTATGCAATACTAAATAAATATTATTAAATAACAAAATGAAATGAGTGAGTGAGAGAAATAAGTACAACATTAAAGTTAAACAGCGATATGGAAATCAATGAGGCACTTGAGCTTGAATTTGGGAAATTAATCCAATGATGTGTGCATTAATTCCACTAATACAAAGACCTGAAGTATTTTCAAAATTCATCATTGAAAAAAACTGTTCACATTTATAAGGACTGCCAAACGCACAAATCAACCTACTTGCAAACTTTCTAAGCTGCCGAAAGTGGTTTACTTCGAGGTACACAACTCGACGTCTTCAAATTCAGATTTTAGGAGTGACTTTTCTTGAATCTCGATCAACTCATTTTGTACGTTAGTTTTTGTCGGAGTAGCAAATAAGCTGCAACAGTCTTCCATGGTTCCCACAGTAACTGAAGTTCTTCACCATATTGAGCAATATTTTCGTACGCTGAGAGCGTGGTGAAATGGTAACTGTTACCAAACAGCATCTTTGCCAGCCACAAGCGAATTTTATTCTGAAACACATTCAAACGGCCTGTAAGGTCGACCAGACCTACAAGTCAGATATTCATTTTGGGTCACTTAATTCAGAAAGAACAGAACTAAAGCTCGCACCGTATCACCCGTATCAATTTAATAAATCACTCAGGTTTTGGAAAACCTACTTCACCAATCCATATACTTGGACTTGACATTTATTTTAACGCAGTTGTGTTACAAATTGTTCATTAATGTTTGTAATTGCTCGGCGCAAACGAAGACAATTAAAAGCCCCTTAAATATTAAGCATTTCTATGCTGAAATATGCACAGCGCAGGCCACACGCGCGCGCTTTGTTCGCCAATAGGAGCGAACTGTCATTTTCCAGCGCATGCCGCGACCATCCTGACAAGTTAATCGCCCGGTTATCTACGACGTCGCCATCGACGCGGGATTAAAAATGATAGCGCGATCTTAAACACGGATTAATATGATTCGCGACGGGCGAAAACTATTTAAAACAAAACGGCGAACGTTAATTCGGACCGGCCTCACTTTATTTACCGATTCCACGCATTTTTATGGCCAAAATATTCAAATTTGACGACACGGGTGTAGCGGAACGTGCGTAGTTTCTGGCTGAGGTCAAACGCGTTTTCGTCGGACAAACGCTCTGCCCATTCGTTACGTTTTGATGTAACGGCGTCGTAAAAAAGCGACGCTAGATTTTAATTGCCAGGCTCCGCGTTGATTATGTCGCGTGACCTTAAAAAGTGATGCATGAGCCTGCGGAATGACGGCCACACAGTTAGTCTTCGCCCCCGGGGTATATCAAAAAGACTGAAGGTTTTCGTTGTTACGAATGATATCATTCTATCAAAGTTTGACAAAATAGGTCTTAGTAACCAGCATTAGAGTTTGCTTCTTACTTGGAGCCTCGATCACACTCTATTTTTTATAATAGTTTTGAATCAAATTTCTACATTTCAACATCTGCCGCACCTCAATGGTCAAGTTTACGGCTAACTGCTTCATTTTCGTAGATTGCTTTAATGAAATTTTGGAAAATAGCTTCATTTGAACTCTCTCAGGTAGCAGAGGGTCGTCGAAAATGACGGAAATGACGTTATATAATAATAGTGACGAATTTTTTAAGTGAAATCTTTTTTGCAGAAAAATGTGACGATTTTTAAATTGTTTTTTTCTTTTTTGTAGTCAGGAAAATCGAAAGTAAATCACACAGGAATTTCCAATTTTACATGTCCTTTGTGGTTGTGGAAAATGGAGTATTATAGGTAGAGAATAAAGATGAGCCTTTCATTTGAAAACATTAATAAGGGGGTCTTCCATTTTATTTTTTCACGAAAATGAATATGTTTCATTTTGAGTCACCCTGCATTAAGGATTCGAATTAACTTCGAGACAAGTATAGGATAAATGTCTGTACTACTTTATAAAGTTGTTGGTATAATAAAATTACAGCTGTCCGAAACCGCGTCAAAAATATAGGGTATCAAACACCGGCAAAAAAAAATGGCCATAAATCCGAAGACACTTATATACCCATATTGAGTAATTGTGTATAAAAGAAAGCATCTATTGGTGCCATAATGTACAGGGTGTAAGTTTGATATCTTGCACATTTATGAGTTGTCCTTTATATTTAAAAATAATTTTAAATTGTTTCTTTTAGTCTGGTCTATAACTTTTGTACTTAACATTTTTCTCTAAAACAAATGATTAACGAAATATATTAAGACGTGGTCAATTGACCAGTCCCAACACTAGCTTTGAGTATTCCTTTTTAATTACTATTGACTATATGAAAAGAATTGCAGAATTTCGGCAAATCCAAGACCCATTTAAAAAATATGAAAATCCGATACTTCGGTAATGAGGCTTCATTATTTTCAAGCGAATTAAGGTCTCATATTTAAAATTTGATAAAGAAGTAGGAAATCTGTGCTTTTATTATTTTTTATGGAGAACTCACTAATGTACTATATAAATAGAAAAAACACCTAGCTAATACGTTTACGTAAGGTTTAAAATTTTTTTAAGAGTTTAAAACAGAGGTGAAATCTTTCTTGTATGTCTCAATATAATTAGATGTCAGATTATTTAAATCCTGACAATCGATTCTGTTCTGCACTGTTCTGTATTCTTAAATAATTATTACTTAACAGCGCCAATCTATTTGAGTTAAGTCTTAAGGCTTATATAAATTTCGCTTCATTGTTGAATATTTCAATAAAGCTAGTTTATTACTATAATTAATTGACGACTATGAACCGAATAACTTGTCAAACCGCGCAACCTCCAAATAGTATCATGCGCGTTTAGAAGAACCTGGCGGCGTGAACGTGCGTCGGAAAAGAAAAAACGGTTGTAAATATCCCAGACGAGTTGAAAAACAACTCAAACCGCGATTTTTTCGACGCGTAGAGCGTTTAATAACGAAAGATAGATGATCGAGAGTGCCGTGTGCAGTCAGTCACCACCTACCACGTAATGAGTGTTGCGGGATGTCGTATCTGCGCAAAGATCGCGCACGGAGGTGTCGGATTGAGCGTTTAAGCAAGGTTTTGGGGCCTGCCCATCAATCGCCGAACCACCCGATAGTCCAGATCTAGATCCCTTTGAAAAATGCCGCCGCGCTCTTCGCGGCGCGCTGTTCTTTTTTTTTTGTTCGTTCGTCTTCGTTCCGGCTCGGGTATCAAATTATAGGGCAGTACTTATATCTTGTATCTTATATCCTGTGCGCGATAGAAGATATACCGATCCTAGTGGGCAAACATTCCTCGGAAAGCAACTTTGCAGCACAGAATTGACAGTGTACAGCCAAAAGACACAGGCAGATTGAATTTAATTCGCACTGCAACCATTGAGCCTAGGATATTATAAACGAAAGTGTGCGAGAAATACAGTTATCGAAAGGATCTTGACACTTTGGTGGATCCGCTTGCGTTTATAAAAATTAAAGATTTCGATTTTCTAGAACGTTTTGTGCTTATATTCTTTTGTTATTTTAAGACAACAGTGCCAAATTTTGTATAAAGAAGTGGAGTACTATTTTTTCTTTTAAATAACTAAAGGTCAAGGTCCAATTAACACTTAATTTCAATTCGATGTCTTTCTGTGTATCTAAAATATACACAGTGTCTAAGAATTCAGTACAAAGATTTTAAGGGCATATTTATCGTCTAATACTAAGCTTTTTTCGTGTCAGTATGTGTACTCACTTGCTTCGTTTTCAAAGTACAGAATTCACAAATACTCAAGAACTTATTTTTTAAAAAAACTGTCTTTATTAATTGTTACAAAAATTTTTGCAGATTTTGGCTAAACTAGTACGGTTATATGTAGCATTAGGCTTTTTATTTTGTGGAAAACTGATATAAAATTATTCATTTCAGGGTCAGTATCCTGCAGGTCGCCTTCTGGAGGTGACCTAATTGGCATTTATCGGTAAAATCATGGTACGCTACCGATTTTTTAATTTTTTTAGATCAAGCAATCAAAACTCAAAATCGTTTTTTTTGTATTGAATGTTGTAACACCCTGTATATAAATGAAAACCAACCATCTATTGACCAACGATTATAAGAACTTTTTTGCTGGGTAAAATCTTGTCACACTTTAGAGTTAGAAAAATTAAGAAGAAAAGTGTTAAGGTTAGTTTCAGTAAACAAACCTGAACAAAAAAAAACTATTTTTTAACTAATAGCGCGGGAATGAGGAGCGGTCCCGAGAGGGAACCTTGCGGCACACCGTGGACGCTGCGATCCGTGTTTGGCGTTTATGCTGGTGCATTGTTTTTTCGATTAACGTTTTTCAGCTCTGTTCGATCGTGTGTGACGCCCGCCGATGCAAAAATTAGCATTTTATATGGCGCGCGCGTTGCATTTAAAAGGGATTTCGACATTCGGCTGATCTAATATACTTAATTACGATTCTGTATATGCAAACCGTTTCAAAGCGAGACGCCAAGCTATTTATGGCCGCGAAATGTATATTAAGACGCCGTCAGAATACGGGAATATTAGCCGTGCATTTGCGTTAGCTAGTTTCATGTTTTTTCCATTCGCCAGGTTTACATTTTTTTTTATTGCAAAAATAAGTGTCTAAAAGTATTTGTCCCTGTTTTTGGTTTCGCTAAATTTCAAATAATTTTTGTATTTGGTTATAATCATTTTCCCATCATAAGTTTTAGTAAATTCATATTGTATTTACTACTTGATTTTGCATTTTAGGGATCTTAATTTTTTTAAATGCTAAAATTAGTTTCCAAAAGTGTTCTTTTTTTGCGTTTGTCACCTTTTTCAAAATTAAGCTAAATTTGGAAGAATGTTTAGTACATTTTCTTTGAACCTTCTAATCATAGGTTTTATTAAATTCTAATGTATTCTATTATATTTATAACATGATTTTCTATAGTAGATAGTGTGATCAATTGAGCGTGGTCAATTCTTCTTCTTAATCGACCGGTCGATTGACCTCTTTTTAATTGACTATTCAAAAAATGTTTTAAATAACATCTTGCAATTGTTATTTAATAATAATATGTATTGTGGTTGTGTGATGTCCAATTTGTCTACAATCCTTTTCAAGGTATATCCGAATAGGATACTTAGCGATTCGGGGAATCCTAATAATAATAATAATAATAATAATAATAATAATAATAATAAACTCCTGTTGGTTAGTTATATATAAATAAATATAAATTTCATGGTATTTTAAAAATTATTTCAGTCAATTGACACAAAAATAAATTGACCGGTCAATTCGACAACCTTAATAGTAGAGATCTCCAAAAGTGCTAACACATTGAAAATACATAATTAACACGCTTTTTCGAATTCAGTTTGGTATTAAAATCTATTAAATTTAACTAAAATGCTAAATTTGAACATTGACGTTATGTAAAGCAACATTTTAGAAAACTATTTTGTTATTGATAATTTTTTTTAAAGATTTTTTGCTTACAACGTTTTTTTTGTTACTAAAGGCCTAAAAATGTTCTTTTCTCATGTTTGCTTCGTTTTTTTAAATTGTTTGATATATTCTAAATATAGGTTTAATTCAATGTAATGGTAATGTGTTTACTTTATATTTACTACTTGATTGTGTATCGGAGAATATTGAAAAACTTTAAATGTTAATAATAATAATTGTAATGTTAAAGTTAATTAAATTTAATTAAAATGCAACAATTGAATTGATTGATTATTTAAAAGAAAATTGTTTAATCTATTTGTTTTGTCGATTTTCCACTTACTACGTTTCTTTTTTTTTTGCACGTTGCTAACTGTCTAAAAATGTTCCTTTTCGTTTCCTTTTTTACAATTTCTTTGAAATCTTCCAAACATATTCAATACTAATTAAGTTTTCATTTGAATGGGCGTTGTAACATCTTGAAAAATTCTAAATACTTGATTTGTATATTAAAGATAATAAAATTTAATTAAATTGAAACATTTCAAAGTAGACGTTATGAAAAAAAACTTAGCAACTCTTAGTAATTGCAATTTGTAGCTTTGTCCTGTTTTTCACACATTTAGTTGACTTTTTTCCTAATGGCTGGAAGCAGTTCTTAAAAGTAATCCTTTCTTGTGTTATTTCGTTAAGTTTAGAAAAATATTTTAAAGAATTTTAATACATTTTTTTTTAGTAGTAGGTTTTGTTCAAGCTCTATATTTTATGCTTAATTTTACGTTTTAGTATAATAAAAATGGAAATGCCAAATTCATATTTGTAAATAAAGAGAATTAAAATTACATTGAAGTGAATTTTTTAACCTAGATGTTACACAAAAGAAAAATTGGAAAACGTGGTAATGGCAATGTCAGTATTAACAAAATATTATCTGCTGCAAGGTTAGCGTATTATAAATTTGTCGTAATATTCAAAACTTAAGAAAAAAATAAGAACAGTTGCTTGGCAAAGTGTATGGCGGCAAAACGATATCATTTGTGTTTAATTTTTTGCTTGTGCTTTCATTCCATCCTTTTTTTATTTCAGTTTCCAAATTACCAACTTCCGCGCGCGTCTTATCATCCAATCATGGACATGAACTATGTACGTATAATCCCAATAGTTAAGAATTCTGCGCCGCAAAAATTCAAAATTAACTGAAAAAAAAAACCAACCAACTCGCGTCTAAATGCATTTCGATGTCGGCCGTTTTTATATGCGCCTCATATAAATTTATAGTACCATTTTAGTAAAATATAACACGTTTTTTACGACCCAGATAGCGTTAAAAACCATAACACTTTATAACGTACACAATTTCGAACTTTACGGGACAATACGATTTTAAGTACCAAAAAAAAAGGTCGGATATCAGACTTCGCACCGAGGAGTCAAAACTGCGGTCGACGGACTGGAAAATTCTAATTAATACCCGCCGAATTTGTTACATTTTTCCCGTAAATTCGGTTCGAAATTTTAGAAATTCTTCTATAAATAACGATAACATCGCCGATCGATTCGAAACAATTCTCGAATACCATCTGCTCGTCCTCAGATTTTTGAATACATAGCACCTAATTTGAATTTTTTAACGCCGAAATATGTAAACCGAAAATTTCATAACGCATACAGGGTGTAAAATAAACGCCGAGATGGTGTTTAAAAAATTCAGTGCGTCGCCGACGTCCCGGCAGAATTCCAAATGGTACCGACACATTGTAACATTTAAATGCAACCGTTTTGCATAATACACATTTTGCCGATCGACTTCTAAGCGCTTCACGTGCAAATTCACAATTAGGCAACCGCTCGGGTAAAAATCAATAAGGTTTAAGTCGGTAAATCCGCGCGGCTTCGATTTTTGGCGGAAACCGTCCGCCATTATTGTCTGTTCTCTGTGACTAACAAATGACGACAAAATGATGAGCTTTCGCCACGAATTACGTAGGATGACTTAGAATGTCGACTTTAAGGTCAGGATCAACAAGGATGTCCTTCGTTGAAGTTAGCCGTTAACTTTTGTATAAAAAGCAGTATCAAAATGTAGCCATTATATCTCAAAATGTTGTTTTAGGCGCATTTGTCACTGTAGAATCCTGAGCTGAAAATATCAGACTTAACTCAAATTACTTAAATAAAATGTGTTCTATGCGTTGAAAATGTTCTTTGATTTTGATTTGAAAACTGCATTTGTGCTTTTTTGTTAATATGGATTAAAATTTTAATAGAGATGCACAAAAACTGGCGTAATTGTGCAGTTCAACTTGATAACTCAAACAGTTTGGATACCGTCTTAATATTTGGATTCAGGATTCAACAATTTATGTATGTATTTTCTATTATTAATATTATAAGTATATGGAATATCATTACATTGACAGGATGACATAAAATTTATTATCTGGAACGTCAGATAAAAGCGAAAATATCCCTTATGCGTTGACAAAAAAAATATTGTAGTAAAACTTTTCTCGGTGACTTCTTTTTTGCTCTGAAATATAACTATAACTATTACCAAATTCTTGGCAGTGTGTTATGGCTATTTAAACATTTGATTGGGTACACCAAAACACAAAAAAGTTTTACGCAGAGCAACACTGTGCGAATTTCGTCAATTCTAAATAACTTTTGACCTTTCCTGTATATATCGAAATGTTGGCCCGGCAACTTGACGCAGAGAAACGTCGTAACCCTTTTCGATCGAATTTTCCTCGACTCGATTTTACGCCATCAATTTCCGCCAATCGCCGTTGCCCAACGCCTTGAGTACTCATTTTATGGATAAAGAAATTTCAAAATTCGCGACGCTCCGGCCATTGTTTGTTTTGCAACTGCGCCAAATTATAGAGAATTTGAAGCGTTAACAAATAGAACTAATGTACTTTTATCGGTTATTTTGCCACGCTATTGCACATAGACACACACACATACGTACATGACACAGTTACGCAAAACGTTATTAGCGTTGCATCCTTTTGTAGTTGCCCGCGTCGCTTTCAATTTCTATTTTCGATTGATATCGTTTTTTTCCTTAACCGAGTCGTCCGTACCCGTAACAATGGCGACCGGTCAATTCGACCGAAAAACATGTCGAAGGACAACGGTTTGATGCTCCATTAACGGAAATCTTTGCGCAATAACATCGCCAGCCGGCATTGGGCCATCGGCCCGAAAGGAGTTGCCCCATACAAGAAGAAAAATAAAAATGTTGTCTGATGATTACCCAGATTTTCGCGTATCGCAGTAAAAAGCAAAGCTGACTTCGTACCATTTAATTGGAGTCTATGGGTGCGGTGCTCTTTGCAGGCACTACTAGGGAAAGATCGCTCTTGAATCAACGGTGTAGCCTTTGAACGACAATAAAAAAGAGGATCCTTATTTTTTTCCTAGCGCAAAATGGGGCGTTCCTTTCGACCGACAATAACATTATAAACGGTCACATCTCCCGTACAGCGTCAGAATAACGTCGATGGAGCAGCTGGTGCTTTCTCGATAAAACACTTCGTGATCGAGGCCCGGACAATGAGCTATGACTTGCGGGAATGTTCCTTCAAATCTTCTCCACCGAAACGGGCGTGAATATCCCCCCCTCAAAGAAAGTCTATGATATATGGCCGTATAATAACTACAAATAGATTTGCGTTTTCATATTAGCTTAATAAATTCACTAGGCACTAAATCCGTACGGTACGGCGGACGGACGTTCATTAATCATCGCTATTATGTAGAACTGGATCTCGAAAAAAGGTGGGCATAAGAAATTATGTTTTTAAGCGTTCCGTGTGTGACGCCCGTGGAAAAAAAATGTGGGTGTCGGACACAATGGCTCCGGTAGTTTTTGTGTTGCGATGCCATCTTTGAACTGGGGCAACGGCTAGCGTTTTGTCGCGTTACCCGTCGCGCTGAAAGGCGAAACTTTAGGACGATTAAGGATGGGTCCGTTTTTCAAAGACTTTGAGTTTTGAGCGTCAATGCTAATTGCTATTTCGATTTTCGTTATAGCTTTTTACAACTCTGCTATGTAAATGAACCAACATGAACCAACACAGTGTTTAAAATTCAACTTTAATGGTACAATTGTCAATTTGTCAACTTCCGCGCATACTTTCTTTCATTTTCTTTCTTCGCAGAGATCTCTTAACACACACTTAACTCGGTTTTCCTGAAAATTAAAAGGGACTTGAGCATATTTTAACATTTAAAACTGCCGAACTGTCATCTCAAATGTTACAATTTTAGGTTGTCCAGGAGTTGGTTATAATTTAATAATAAGAATCATCTTCACATGTACAGTTTAACGCTGGGATTAATAATAATCAAAATATTACAATATAAGTAATAATATCACATAAACTCAATATTAACGCTTTTTTGAAGTCTTTATTGTGGGGAGGGACGTTATAGCATTAGGTATAGCTAAAAGATGTCTGGAAAGTTACCGAAGTAATTTTGACACCCGCCTGAAGGAGAGACAATCTCATCATTTAGCGTAATCTTAAAAGATGCCTTTTTTACAATATCTTCTCTTTTATTTCCAAATAATAACTACTGCGTTTTGTTAGTATTTAATAAGGGGTTGCGAATCGCAGATACCACCTAAATTATTTTTAAATCTAAATTTATTTTAGTAGTGGCATTTAAAGCTTCACTAGCAACAAAACATAAATATAACTGAATATCATCGGCGTATTGATGAGATTTTAAGAAAAGTAGAGAAGTCAGCTCTATAAACTGAGAACAGAATAGCTCCCAGAATACTTCCCTGGGGAACGCCCCCAAAGCAATGGCATCTGAATGAGTATTTCCTATAACTACCCTTTGGTATCCCTGGCCAAGAAAATTTTTAAAAAAATGAAAGAGCAGTAATTTTGTCCCGAAGAATTCCATTTTAGCTAGGAAATGATCCAAGGTGTCCAACTTCCTCAGGGTAAACTTTAGCAAAACGGAATGAATTAGTACCAAATGGTTTATTAATATAATTTGACGACACAAACCCCGGAAATACCACCAACAGCTCCAAAAGAAGTAAAAGCAACAACATTAAAACTATTAGGTTGGCCAAAAATGATTTCAAACATTTGCACTCGAAATCTCCTCAACGCACGCCAAAAATTTCTAGGATCAGCCTCAAATTTAGTTGCCAAATATGCCCTTTTCTCGGCTCTCACACTGGAGTTCACAAAGTTTCGTAATTCTCTATACTCGTTTAAAGCAACGTTTGACTTAAGACGTTTGTATCTTAAACGTGACCTATTTTTAAGTTTTATTAAAAGTTTAAGGTTTTCGGTAAGCCAAGGGGCTGGGGGTCTCTTAATTCTAACTGTTTCTAATCGACCATGATTATTAAATAAATACTTCATATTATTCGTAAGAAAGTCAACTTGTATGTTGATATCATCAAAAGAGTATAAAAGTTCCCAGTTAATTGCTCTAAGACCATTCATAAACCATCCATTATCGAATGCCGAAAAATCTCGAAAGGTTCGAAAAAGGGTTGGACGACGGTCTTTCTGCAGCAAAAAACAATACAATGATCTGAAATATCACTCATATCATAATTATTGCCAAAATGGCCGTCCTTGATTTTGCAAATATAAGAAAACTCTAATAATCGTTATATTTGTCCCGTCTCTCTTTTGTGTTTGGAACTGTTTTGGCTCGTTAGATACCTGTAATTCATTCATAACTATTACTTTTGACTGACTACTCGACTGTAATATATTTGCTGCTAGCAAGGAAACCTATGAGGGGCTTTTTTGTGTTCATATTTTTGACTTTTTATAAAAAAAAAGTAAACTATAGAAAATAATAACGTGATTTTCTATCGTAAAATAATTCTACGAAACTGGGGCGCAGGGACACGAACGAATACGGAAAGCAACACAAAACGAAGCAAAAACGAAATGCAAATCTTAATGTAAAAAAATACGTTTTAGCGATTTTAATTGGTTAAAAAAAATGATATACAACGTAATTCGAAATTTGTATTAATTAATTAGAGTTCGCGACATACTAACATTTGATCATTTAAAATTATATATATAATTAGTTTATTAGTTAAGCGAACGAGAGAGTGAGATCATTCTAGCACACTATGACGCACT